TGGGAGGGAGGGAAGGGGAGGGGAGGGTAAGGGGGAAAGAGCAACCAAAGGACTTACATGCAGGCATAGAGGCCTGACCAATGGACACGGACAACGGGGGGGGGGGGGGGGGGTGATGTGGGGACAGGGACACATATGTAATATCTTAATCAATAAAAAATATATTAAAAAAAATAGGCAAAGGAACTAAATAGACCCTTTTCCAAAGCAGACAAACAGATAGCCAAGAGACATATGAAAAAATGCTCAAACTCACTGATCACCAGAGAGATGCAAATTAAAATGACAATGAGGTATCACCTCACACCTGTCAGAATGGCTATCAGTAACAAATCAACAAATGACAAGTGTTAATGGATGTGGAGAAGAGGGAACCCTAGTACACTGCTGGTGGGAATGCAGACTGGTGTAGCCTTGTGGAAAACAGTATGGAGTTTCCTCAAAAAATTAAAAATGGAACTCCCATTTGACCCAGTGATCCCACTTCTAGGAATATATCCTAAGAAATCAGAAACATCAATCAGAAAGGATATATGCACCCCTATGTTCATAGCAGTGCAATTTACAATAGCTATGATTTAGAAATAGCCTAAGTGCCCATTAGCAGATGAGTGGATAAAAAAGCTGTTGTACATTTACACAACAGAATACTTCACAGATGTAAAAACAAAAGAACTCTTACCATTCGCAACAGCATGGATGGACCTGGAGAGCAGTATGCTAAGCGAAATAAGCCAGTTAGAGAAAGATAAGTATCACATGATCTCACTTATATGTGGAATATAATGAACAACACAAACTGATTAACAAAAATAGATCCACAGACATAGAAGCATCAAACACAGTCGAATCTCAGCGGGAAGGAAGGGAAGGATGGGTGGGTGGGAAGAGATCAACCAATGAACTTGTATGCATATATGAATAACCCATGGTGAAGACCTGGGGAGGGGGGCCAGCTGGAAGAGGTCAATGGGGGAAAAAGAGGACATATGTAATACTTTCAACAATAAAGATTTAAAAAGAGAGACACTAGAAACTGTGTTTATTCTGTTAGGTTGATGATTTGCATGGGAAACTGTCCGATCAGAAGAAATGATCGGCCTTCCCGAGGTTAAGTATATCTGATGATTTATTGAGAGATTATGTGTGCCCTTACTGTAAATGGATGGCCTCTGGCGCCATTTCAAACGCCAACAAGAATCCCAATTTGGGGTGTGGTAGGGAAGGAAACTTGATTTAGTGTGAACAGCTTGACAGTAACATAGCATGGCTGTGAAACATCACCGCAGTAGAACGCCTCCATAACGTTACAGAGTGGCTGCTGTGAAAACAGCATGGCCTCTAAAGCTGGGGAGAAGTCTGTAGCGCTTCAGCTTCAGCAACTCAATTACAATTTTCAGTCTTCAGGGGAAAGTACTCTAAGATCCTGAGGGGAGCGGGCTATATAGAAAGAAGTCCCGCTCTCTGGTCCCTGATTGGTCAAAATAGAGCTTCTCTGATTGGTCAAACTGCAAAGCTCTGATTGGATGGGGAAAGCCACAGTCCTATTGGTTGAAATAGGATTCCAGGAACTCCTTTATAAGGAGTAGCTCAGCGGGCCGAAAGAAAGTGCAGGCAGGAAGTTTAGTGGTGCCCAGTCAGGCAGTGTAGCACAGAGCCTTCTCTGCGAAGTACAATTTGAATGGGAGGCCCCTGTGCAGAAATGGCTGCGAGGCTCTGCTTTTTTTTTAAAAAAAATCGTAGCCCAGATCACCATCAGGAGCCATTCTTAGATCTCAGGGTTCATATACTTTCATATGGAAATGTGCTTCTTTTTACAAAATAGATAATTTTGAAAATTGTGTTCAGTTGGCAAAATAAGAAATTGGCATCTTGTGTTTTCCTCTGAATATTTTTAAAAATGTATGCACCTAAGATCTGGAACCCCTTGTCTAGAATACAGATAAAAGGAAGAAAGAACAGTATGTGACACCTAGTAAATTGATTTGACTTTAACAAGGAAAGCGCCCGTTTTACGAGAGCATTGGCAGGAATACCTGTCTCCTTTGAGAGTCAGGGAAGACTTCACAGAGAAGGTAACGATTTAGCTGGGGCTTTAAGGATTAACAAGGAAGAAATGGCAGGGCGTTCCAAGCAGAATACATAATGCAAGCCACAGCACAGAGCACAAAAGAGCTCTACGTGTTCAGCAGCTCTGAGTACCCTGGAGGCTGTTGCCTGTAATTCTCAGGGTTTGGTGAGAATATAGGCAGGGACGATTTTTCCCTGCTTAGCTCATTTTCTCTAAAGCGCATCTCACAGTGCTGGGCACACATCTGCAGGAGCTCAATAAATACCGTTGAATTGGGACAGGGTGATCGAGTGTGCTGGGAACCAGGGTATCAGGATTCTTTCTCACACAACCACAGTGTTACCTTGGCCAAGTCCCTTTTCGAAGGCCTGTGCCTGCGGGTGCCAAGTGGAGGAGGGCGTTGGCCTGAACTGCTGGGCCTTTTAGCACCTGGAATCCCTGATTGGCCACAGAGAGGGCGGGGTGGGCAGTGCGGCTGTGGCTGCCACTGCGGCTGCGGTGCGGCTTGCGGAGGTTCAGTTCCTCCTCCGCTCCAGCAGGGGGCGCGGGGAGCGG